AAACTATTTATCCTCTCCGTTATTCTTACGACACACTCTCAGACTCCTTATGATCCTTCGAAATTTAAGTCTGTTCGTCGAAAGCATACTGTATGCCCGTCAAACCCGGTCAGAACAAGATTAGCACAGCGATGTTTTTACCACTTTGGTAACTATTTGTACAACAAAGTTAACAAAATCCTGAATGTGTACCCAATGACTAAATTTCAATGTAAAAAAGCTGTTACCAAGTGGTTGATTGGATTGGATTGGATTATGACGAAACAGAAAAGATAATCTGTACTTTAAAATAAGTACTGTCACTCATGCTCATACACAAACACACACACACACACGCACACACACTCAACACACACACACACACACGCAGGCATACACTAATTTCTAATGCTTCTTACCTTTTTTAATTATATTTTGAATTAAAAAAAAAAAAAAAAAAATGTATCACGTTGCTCAAAATCTACATGTATATGTATTGCATCTGTATCGCTAAGGTGGGAGCCTGGAGATTTGTCACACAGGTTTCGAACCTACTACAAACTCCAGCTCTCACTAGGTGTCATGTATGTTATTTTTATTATAGTAGCATAACAAACCTATGTACCTATTTACCTTTTTGAGACAAATAAACCTTATTATTAATGGCCTATCATGACTTGTCACTGATACAAATGTCGTCGATGTCTTTGTAATAGTTTGGTAAATCGTACATTTAAAATTTGTAAGAAAACGATTTATTTAATTTGCCAGATATGAAAATGTTGTTGATGTCACCATTGATTACCTATATTACTATATCGACAGTCTATTGACGATGCCCAGTTGAGCCGCCACATAATTTATTAGTTAAGAGATCATTTTGCTCTTTCACTATAATTATGACAAAAATAGTGCGAAATATTCACAAATATAAACTTCTTTATCAATAATGGTAATCGCAATATCTTCTAATACTAAAATATATTTTTTTAATGTAAAAATGCACTGATGGCGTAGTGGTTTAAGTGAGTACTACGCTGAGTGTTGTGGGCCCGATCCCCACATGGGACGACACTTTGTGTGATCCACAAATTGTTCTTCTGAGTCTGTGTGTTTTTTGTGTCTGAAACAGACACATGTATGTTTGTAAAGTCCCCCGCGACACAGGATATATTCCTAATGCATGAGTCGTCTTTTCAAAACTAAAAACTATAAAAAAGTAAATGAATTACATTTTTTAATTTAGTCACATCACACATCACATCAACAGCCTTTAATAGTCCACTGCTGGACATAGGCCTCACCTTAGAAAGGAGGTTTTCGCCAACTATACAACGCTGGCCAGACGGGTTGGTATAGGGCTTGTGTCAAGTTTTCCTTCTCTTCGCAGTGCTGTTGTTCTGCTTAGTTTTCTCCCTTAGTAGGCTCTTACGACACCTACGGGATGAATAGGGGTGGTGACACGTTGTGTTCTTAATCCGTCACCACACGGACCCTTACTAGTATATAGTTCATATCACCTACCTTACTCGTATATATTTCAAACTATATTGTAAATGACATACAGTATCGTTTGCGTTCGGTTTCAACATGGCTAGTCCTAAACGCCAAATCAAATTTTGAGTCTAATCCTATATGACGGGCCTCTGGATCTAGTGATTGATCCTGACTGCTAAGCCACAGATTCTGGGTTCGATTCACACCCAGGATTTTCTTATGTCTGGGTGTAATATATCTATAATATGTATGTATTTAGAAATATAGAAGTAGGTTTATAAGCAGTCTCGTCACCATAGTACAGGCTCAGCCTAGTTTGGGATCAAGCGACCATGTGTAAAACGTATGAGGTTTTATATTATATTTTTGGTTATATATTGAAACAAAAAGATTCCAAAACCAAACAATGATTAAATTCCTAACATAACACAATGACTTGTAGATAATATAGGTTTGCCTGCATGGCTTTGTTTCCGCTTGGTTCGATTAAAAACATACTGTCTCCGAGCACTGAATCGGTAACTAAATCGATTATTACCAAAGAAAAAAACAACAGTAGAGAAAATAATTACTGGGGCTTAATGTACAGCGTCGTTATAAAATATTACTTCATAGTCTACTGTAGCTTTTAGTCCTATTGTTTTATTTTAAGTTCTATTCTGTATTCGTGAAAAGGAAAATATCCGGTTAGGAAAAGTAGCAGTTTAAAATTCTGCTTTAAAAACAAAACTACGAACATTTTGCAAGAAAAAGTGTATTTTAATTTACTTCCCTTGATTGTGGTAAATATATTAATGTATAGAATGAAATAACTTGTATTCTTTTTAAATTTTTATTAAATTGAGATAACATAGCTATATTTTGTTTTAATATGTTTTGCTGTGTAAGTGACTAAAATGTAAATATTTACGCATGCCTTGAGGTAGAATGTGGCTGCTCCTTGTTATCGCTCTTAATATGAATACCTTAATTATATGTATATTAATTATATGTATAATGTATACCCATTTTTTCGAAATTAATTATTTAAAAAAAAGGCGTGTAGTGTCGTGGGACACCCGATAGGAACGAAGTTGTGACGATCGAGTAAAACTGATTCGACACGATTTTAATTACAACGCCATCTATGTAAGCGGCTATTACCTACATATTTTTCAGTTTGTTTCTAATTAAAACAATTTATACATTGGTAAAATCTCATTGAGAAATGATGTCGAATACAATATTTTTTGCTCAACCTAAGAACATATTTTTTTTATTTTACTGAGATGAAAAGTAATGATTTCCTATCTATTCATCTATTCGATAGATAGCGCTGAATGACTGACAAGTGACAATTCAAATAAAAAGTGTCGTTACAACTTTTCGTGAGATTTTTTTCCGTCTAGCCCCCTTTCACAACGCGCGATAAGGAACTTCGTTCAAAAAATGATTTTGATTTTAATGATTACTCTCACAAAAGTCCCTTGCGGTACTCATTATACACATTTGCTGTGTTAAAAATCTGTGCCGTAGAGGGCAGGAACCAACATCTGCGAGGAGCAATATGTCTGGAGGCTGGAGGGAGGCATATGTGAGGAGCAATATGTCTGGAGGGAGAATCTATTCTACTTTTGTGGAGTGTTCAGGAGGTGTTAAACAGCACCTCAACATAGCGACGGTAATTAGTACGCGAGCTTTCCTATAGGAACTAATGCTCTATTTGAAGTGAAAGTCCTCAATTTTGGCGAGGTGTAAAAGCAACCTCATTTTTAAGAAGGTGCTGAGGGAACAAATCAATGAGGCTCATCGTTTTCCCGTCTCGAAGAAAACGCACCAGGCGATGGAAAAGGTGAAATGATCGCTAGCTTTCGCGACCATCAGGCTTGAGGTAACGGAAGAGGTTATCTGTCGTCTTTGCTGAGTCAGTTGTGAGAAGCCGATACGGTTTGAGTTTGACAAAGGATCCCCATACTCTACTATCTGACCACTTACTGATCAACAAACTTCCAACGTCCACAGGAATTCCTCAAGAAATTTTTTCCTAGGGTCTTTTGCAGAAGATCTACTAGACTATGACAAATTCTTAACTAGCAATAATTTTATTTATTCATTATATTAGCAGTTATCACAACAAAAGACTGTATTTAAAATAGCTCTATTGTCAAATTTTAAATTTAATATGTCCACTAGACTGTGACAAGTTCTCAACTGGCAATAATTATTTATTTATTAATTATATTAGCAGTCATCACAACAAAAGAAAATTTTAAACTCAATATAAATTACAAAGGCAATCTTACCAAATGAATTTGAATATACCAGTGTAATGATTTAAAATGAATTTAATATTTCTCTAGCTTTAGAAAATTAAAGAGCGACTGAAGATAACTTTATATAATACTAAACGATTAAATCAATTTGACCATGTACAAAAATCGCTTTTTAGAGATAAGTACTCATAACGTCTAATAGATGCCGCAATGTAGGCAGAACTATTATCAGTAACACTATTGTCCTTTTTTTCAAACTAGGTTAGGTGAGCTTTAAGACTACTATGACACGGCTGTACTTCGATGGTTTACGTGGAACGACTGCCATGAGACCTCATCAAGCCAAGTATTAGGCGAAAGCTCTGTAGATAAACAGTTGTCCCACTTTTTAGGGTTCCAACTACCCTTAACGATTGTCATAGATACCACACATCCGATTTAGACTCGTGAATAAAATTCTGCTGAAAGATCTACAGATTGATGGATAGTTTTAAAAATGTATTTCAAGTACTCACCGTAAAATACATACATGTACTGCAAAAAGGACTCTCGTGAGTAATTTTTTTTATAGTTCAAGGGGGTGTGGCGACAGCCCTATGCTATTGTGTCGACAGCCCTAAGCTATTATGTTATGTTAGCATTTTCTGTACGAAGCCAGGCGGACGCAGAGACACGACAGGCAGTCGGTTACTAGCCACGATAGCGATCACGCATTTATACGCGCACCCGACTCCGCCCGCCTGGTTAACCCTTTTGTGTATTTCATGTATGTGTCGTGTGATACAATAAACTTTAGTTAACTACCTAAACCGAGTATTCATTCCATCTCTAAACAACACCTCAGTTAGGTAGTTAAAGTGGTGACCCCGACGTCTTAAACGTAACCAGGCGGGTGGCAATATCGAATTACGCGCATCCGGCCGCGATCAAACGCCTTAGTTTTCGTACGAAACAAAGAAGAAACGCGCTGTGAAAATGAGTGACCACGAGGAAGAAAGTTCGGCGCAATTACACTCAATTAGTGTGGCAAGCAGGATCGCCCCGTTCTGGAGGGAACTTCCAAAATTGTGGTTCGCGCAATTCGAGGCCATAATCACGCCACAAAAGGTCGGCCAAGACACCAAGTTTGACCTGGTGATCGGGAAACTTGGAAAAGAGGAATTAGTCTACATCAGTGATTTACTAGACGACACGCAGAAGAGTTACGACGCACTCAAGGCCAGGCTGATTAATGAATTCCAGGATACACCGGACACGCAATTTAATAAGCTTATGGATGACCTGCAAATCGGGGAACAGAGGCCATCGCAGCTATTCAGACGGATGGCCGAGGCAGGCAAAAATGCAGGTGTAGCATTGTCCACGGTAAAGATGCTATGGCTAAGGAGATTACCCACACCCGTAAGAACAGCTTTAGTGGCTCACGAACAGTTAGACGCGGAAAAACTCGGGGCGATTGCGGATAAGGTACATCAGACCATCAAACAGGGGGTTATAGCTGAAGTAAAAGAAGAGTCAAAGGATAGCAGCCTGATACATGAGATAAAGAAAATGACGGAGAATTTCGAGCAGCTGCGCGGCGAGGTACAGCAAATCAGAAGCCAAGAGAGGCCAAGAACAAACTGGTCAGCAGGCAGAGGAGCCACAACGTCATTCAGACCTCCACAACAACGGCAACGGAGAAGGTTATGCGCATACCACCAGCGATTCGGAAAGTTCGCGAGGAACTGTCAGCAACCCTGTGACTGGAGAAGCAGACCACCACCCCCCCCTGTCGGTTATCAGCGGCAAGGTCCAGCGAGTTGGCAAGGAAAACAGGAAAACTAAAACCGACGCTCCCTGTAGCGGCAGTGGGGGGCGCGTCGTTTTTAGACAACCACCGCCTGTGCATCCAAGATCGAAAAAACGGCATATCATTCCTAGTAGACACCGGCGCAAACGTATCCGTAATACCCGCGAGCAAGGTCAGTGTAGGCAAACGTGTAAAGTGCGATTATAAGCTGTACGCGGCAAATAACACTGAAATAAAGACTTACGGTACAACGTCGTTCGAACTAGACATTGGGTTAAATAGAACAATAGTGTGGACATTTGTGGTATGTGACGTCAAGCAACCGATCCTGGGAGCCGATTTTTTAAGGACAAATAATTTAGCAGTAGATTTGCGAATGAAGAGGTTAGTAGATATGAATGTAAAAACATGTGTACACGGGTCACTAGTGCGTGCCGGGCAATCAATTAACACTGTTCAATCATCCCATCCTTACCGCGACATCCTGGATTGTTATCCAGACACCACCAAACCAATTAATTTTACAGTACCGGCCAGACATGCAGTCAAGCATCACATAGAAACCACGGGGCCGCCGGTATATGTGCGAGCGAGGCCATTACCGCCGCACCGATACGAGAAGGTTAAACAGGAATTTAAGGTAATGCAGGAACTAGGAATCTGCAGGCCGAGCAACAGCCCTTGGGCCAGCCCACTACACGTCGTCCCCAAGAAGGACGGGCAAATCAGGACGTGTGGCGACTACAGGCGACTCAACGCGATCACCAAGCCTGATCGCTACCCTATCCCCAGACTGCAGGATTTCACTTACGGCATGGCAGGTAAGAAAATTTACACCACACTAGATATAAATAGGGCGTACCACGCAATCGAAATGGCTCCTGAGGATGTGGAAAAAACGGCAATTATAACGCCATTCGGGTTATTCGAGTTTCCCGGATGATTTTTGGTCTGCGGAACGCGGCCCAAACGTTCCAAAGGTTTATGAATTCCATTTTGCAAAACATAGAATCAATCACAGACAAATGGGGCTCCAAATCCTCCCTGTTCTGTTATATAGACGACATAATTATTGCCTCCGAGACAGAAAAAGCACACAGGGAGCATTTACACAAAATTTTAGACATTTTCCAAAAATTTGGCATCACAATTAATTTAAGTAAATGCAGTTTCGGTCAGAAAACAGTCAAATTTTTAGGATTTGAAGTATCAAATTCAGGTCTCAAACCATTGCGAGACAGGGTGCAAGCCATAATCGATTTCCCAAAGCCAGAAAACGTCGAACAGCTTCGACGTTTTCTAGGCATGATAAATTTTTACCGTGCTCACATCAAGCAGGCGGCAAGCACTCAGAAGCATTTAAATAAATTTCTGCATAACACTAAGAAACACGACCAGACCAAAATTCACTGGGACGATGAAGCAAACGCGGCTTTCATACAAAGCAAACAGAGCCTAAAACGCGCCGCTACCCTAGCATACCCAGTACCGGGCGTACCGCTAGCGCTCATGACCGACGCGTCAAACAACGCGGCAGGCGGAGTGCTACAACAAAAGTTAAATAATGTGTGGAAACCTTTAGGTTATTTTTCAAAAGCATTCTCGGAGGCGCAAAAAAAGTACAGCACTTTCGATCGCGAGTTACTAGCTATCTATCTGTCCATAAATCATTTCAGGTACCTAATAGAAGGTGGGGAACTAATCGTCTATACGGACCACAAACCATTGACTTTCGCCCTCCAAAAGATAGGTACGGCTAGAGAAACGCCTAGAAGGGCTAGGCAGCTTATGTTTATAAGTGAATTTACAAATAGCATTAGGTACATAGACGGTACTGAGAACACAGTTGCTGACGCGTTATCGCGGGTGGAAACAATAACGTGCCCAACAACTATCGACTTCGCCGAACTAGCCACAGCTCAGGCGCAGGATACTCAAATTACACAGTCAGTAAACTTAGAGTCACGTTTTGCAACATTGTCGCTACCTGACTCAGACAAACTGATTTATTGCGAAATGACCACCGGCACACCGCGTCCGTATGTACCTAGCAGTTTTAGAAAATTAGTATTCCAGGCGGTTCACAATTTAAGTCACCCAGGCATTAGGACGTCGAGGAGACTGCTAGCGCAGAGATTTTATTGGCCTGGAATGAATAGGGATTCAGGAATCTGGGCGAGACAGTGCGTGGAGTGTCAGCGAAGCAAAGTAGGTCGTCACGTAGTTTCAGACTTAGGGCAATTTCACAACGCGGGCAGATTCGAACACGTACACATCGACTTGGTAGGACCGTTACCAACAACGGAACTAGGTCATAGGTATCTCGTCACGATGATTGATAGAGGCACACGCTGGCCGGAGGCGGTGCCCATTAAAGATATGACCGCGGAGACGGTAGCGAAGGCTTTGTATGAAAACTGGGTTTGCAGGTTCGGAACACCTTTGTACGTTACCACAGACCAAGGGAGACAGTTCGAGAGCGAACTGTTTGCAGGGCTAATGAAACTTTTGGGAGTCCAGAGGCTACGCACCACAAGCTATCATCCCATGAGTAACGGCATCGTTGAAAGATGGCACAGATCATTAAAAGTAGCGCTAACAGCAAGGCTCATAGACAACGAATCATGGCTGGAGGAACTCCCAACAGTTTTGTTAGGTTTAAGAGCGGCAGGCAGAACGGACAACGAGGTAAGTGCAGCAGAAATGACATATGGGCAAGTGATCAGGCTTCCAGGAGATTTCTACTCGAGCGCGCCAATCACTAATCTCGATCAGTACTCTTATGTAGAAAAATTAAGGGAAACAATTAAAAACATTAAACCAATCCCAGCTAGGAACAGAGTGTACAGGAAAATTTTCGTCCATAAAGACCTCGACACTTGCTCACATGTTTTCATCCGTAACGACGCAGTAAAGCGACCGCTAACTCCAAACTATGATGGCCCATTTAGAATCATCACTAGAAATAAGAAATTTTTCAAATTGCAGCTGCCAAACAGGCAAGTGGAGGTCTCAATAGATAGATTTAAACCAGCTTTCTTAATTTATTCCAGTACCCAGGACGAGGAGCGACAAACTACACCACGTCCCACTCCAATCAGGCCCCCGTCACCTCAAAACGCACTTTACCCGGCACCTCCAGTGACACGTACTACACGTAGAGGTCGAGTCATAAATAGACCAGTTAGATATTTATTCGATAATTAAGTCCCTTACAGTAATGTTAATCCATAGGCACGCTTTGTATTTCATTTCAATGTCGGCGCCCCGTGCAGGGATACTGTCAGGAGTCTAATTAAATATTGCAGAGTAGGTCCTGCACGGCGGCTACGATCGCTATAGTTATTCTATGCATCCCCCAAATATATATCCCCTCGTAGGTTAAGAACGTAAAGTCGGGCCCTGAAACACGGGTCCCGCAACTCTAGTTAAGTATTCAGCTCTAGCAAACCCCCTCGTGGTGAGAGGAGGCCTGTACTCAAACATTAATCAACGAATGTAATTCAACGCCCTAAGCAATAAACAGGGCACAGTAAGCATAAACATAACAGTAAATTAATACATTGTAAATTAAAACAAGACGGCACGTAAAATATTTTATTGCATTACTGATTGAACAAATAAACTGCGAACTATGTAACATTAAAGTAGAGCGCAATTCTGCAAAATCATGAGAGTCATCGTTCTCTGTTGTATTAAACTTAAATATTCAAGTTATTAAGCAATCAACAACAGTCCGAAACAGTTAACAATTTCACTACTTGAAGGAAAATTTTTCACTAAATTTTAACAGATAAAATGGGCTGGGGCCAAAGCAAGGAAGAGAACAAGGACTCCCACGACGCTATAGCAATAGCAACAGTTAAAACCATATCGAATCAAGTCGAGAGCAAACTCAATTATGTTGGAGTCGGGCTAATGATATGTGGAGGCATATTAGTATTGTTATTGTGTTATTTCATCATGGTGAAGTGTAAAAACCGTGCTAACAAGTGGTTGCAGAACGCAGTTAATAAGTTACCGCCCGCTCCAAATACAGCGACACCTAGAGCACAAGCTCCGGTGTATTAAAGTGCTATTTTTCTATAAGATTGTTACCCATATATCACTTTCACGGCAATGAATATACCGCTGTTCGGGTTGAGGTAGACGGATCATTTTATTTGTCATGCTATAAATAGAACACGCACCACATTTTTTACATTGTAACTATAAAAGGTATTGTATTACTTAAGTACTTACTTAATATAAACAAGGGCGTCGCACACAGAATGACGCATCAGCGTTCTGATTGCATTGTATACATTATTCATTGGGGTTCCGCTAGTAACTTTGGATTGTGAAATAGTAATACATTTTTATTCCTTCATTTTTTTCTCTTGCTTAACAAATGTGTCCCACATTTTTCAAAAAGGGGGGAGTACTGTGGCGACAGCCCTATGCTATTGTGTCGACAGCCCTAAGCTATTATGTTATGTTAGCATTTTCTGTACGAAGCCAGGCGGACGCAGAGACACGACAGGCAGTCGGTTACTAGCCACGATAGCGATCACGCATTTATACGCGCACCCGACTCCGCCCGCCTGGTCAACCCGTTTGTGTATTTCATGTATGTGTCGTGTGATACAATAAACTTTAGTTAACTACCTAAACCGAGTATTCATTCCATCTCTAAACAACACCTCAGTTAGGTAGTTAAAGGGGCAAACAAGCGTCTGCTCGTTTAAGCAAGAGAGCCAGTTCGATAGGTTAGAAAAATAACATTGGTCACAAACTCAAGATTATACAAGCACTGTGTTATCTAATCTTATCTTAAGCACTCAAATGTATACATACATACAAATTAAGGGTGGCAAACGAGCAGACGGCTCACCTGATGGTAAGTGACTATCACCGCCCATGAACATCTGCAACTCGAAACTCCGGTCGAGCCCGCCCATTTCTGCCGAAGCATGATTCTGCCACAGTATTATTAAGCACAGTTCAGCCTATATCAATTTTTAGCCATCTCTTGTACTATTAAATGCATAATAAA